TAGCTCAGAGCCTCATAATACTGAAATCTGTATTTTATTAAATCTGTTTTTCCTTCTAATTTGTTATTATTTACATTGCTTTTAAAATCGTTCTGGGTGACACCAAAAAAATGGCGAAATCGTGTTGGTGAACACGAATCAATAGATTAATTTTGTGACTATAACACGAAATGCCGTGAGACTGTGTTGGATATTGACGGCATTTTGTTGGCTCAATTTTGGCTCTCTTTTTTTCTCCGTTGTCCACGTTCCCTGCTGTAGTGCTTCAATGCTTCTGCCCATTCACTTTGAATGGGGTGACGTCACGCTCACAGGGCCTTCAACATAAGTCTGGTCGTATTGGTTGTATGACTTCTTCTAGCATTGTGTGCGCATCGCGTTGCTCTCTTCAAAAGTAGAGCAATGTTCTACTTTTGAAGCTTCGACGGAAGCGCCAGCCAATCGAATCATATGCCAGTACAAGCTCTAGCCAATCAAACTGCGTGCTTGTGTGTCCGGGGCGGGAGATTCATGTGATTGGTTGTTGGTCGAGCGTCAGACACGCCCGCCGGCAAGCTTCAACGCACGCCGCCGTGTGTAAGCTCCGTAAGGAAGTCTGAAGGAAGGGGCAGATTTTTTCCGGCTGCGTACTTTCAAATTCTAGCGCACTCAAGCTGGTTTCTCCATTCTTACCTACCTATACCTTTAATGTTCCCACCCAGGCAAATATAAACCCTGCAGTCTATGATGGGAAGTATTCCTGGTGTAAATCTGTTAGTACAATGTGTTTCTTAACTGATATATGAAGATCCCACACATGAGTTCAGGGGCCTCATTTATAACGCCTTGCGTAGGATTGACGTGAGAAGGTTGCTTACGTAGTACAAAGCAAAAAAATAGGTACAGAAATTTTCCGACATTTTCCGATTCACAAAACATTGCGTACCGGTGAGGGAAGTGCGTACCGGCACTTCATACGCCTGTTTCCCTTTATAAATCACAATCGACTCGAAATGCGGCGCAGCTTTTGCAGGCTTCACGTAACGCCCATATTTGCCTATAAATAGTCAAAGAAACGCCCATTCATTCATTCATTTTTGACTGACTGCATGAAGAAGATCGCAGGAAATGACGACCGAACAGCTAAAAAAGACATCTCACACCGTGTCAGATTTTGGTTATTTTGGGGAGGTGGAGATAAATCATATTGTTTGGTGGATGCAGTTTGAACCAGAGTAGCAGCATGGAGGTCGGATCGTCACCAAAATAAATAAATAAGTGGTCCGAAAAAAGTTAATGACAAAAAAAATACACATAACCTTCCTCAGGCAGTGTGTTTGTACCGGGGACAGGAGACACCCTCTTGATGAGAAACTGTAAGAAATGATCGGGGAATCCCTCCGGAGTGGAGTCATGACGACTGGATCTGAATTATTTTGTTGTATTTGGTGGTTTGTGTTCCAGCTGTCGATCAGCAACTATATATCCATAATCCACCAGTTAAAGGAAATACAACTAATGTGTTGTGTTATATTAGCTGTACAATTTACCGCATATGGTGTTCTTAGTTTCCATACCTCCTGTGTTTTACGAGCGACTTATCAAGTCTTGGCAAACGGCATAAAACACGATTAAACGTGATAGTATATAAAACCATGCTCGTATCTACAACCTATAGAAATGCAAAACGGCGTCAGTTTAGACGTTATTCTGTCCTCCTGCTTACCGCATCATTTATGAGAAAACATTTCATAACATTAACACAACATATTCGAGGTGGTTTTAAATAACATATCCGTATTTATTTATTTCCCCAAGTTATGTTTTTGTATGCACTGAGGAGTCTCAAATAGGCGTTTGTTTAATCATTTTAAGATTGGCTTTAATCAATGTTTGAAAATGAATTCTTCATATTTGATAAATGAGAGGTAACATTTTATTTATTTCCACATATTTCTCTCCATTCTTCCTTCTGCCAACGGTGTCGCAGTTTCTCGTCTCTCCCGTTGTTGTGCTTAGTGCGTACGCATGGGTTACAGTTTGCGTGGAGGACCGCACATTTTCCCGTCAAGTTAGTATTTTATAAATCGCAAACATTGCGTAGAAACTGGCGTACGCCATTTTTTGAGCGTATATCCCTTTATAAATGAGGCCCCAGGTCACTGGTGGAGTTTATTGGGTCAGACAGGGACTACAGTCAATTTGGTCCCTGCAGGAGAGAGAGGGCTTCCACTTCATATATGTGAAAATTAAAGTATTATTATTATGATTCTTTTTTTTCAATTCATATTTATTTGTATCATAAATGATATCTTTATTAATATGAATTCTCAGGTAATTTTGTTACATTTTAAATAAATGTAACACATGACTATGAATTTGGGGGAGGGCCATTGTAAGTACACAAAAATATTAAAGTAATACATTTACGAGGATATTCTCTGAGATCAGAGGGGTATAATTATTTTTTTCCTTTTTTTACAAGAAAAAACGTTTTTTGTTTATTTGGTCAAGAAACCCTAACCCTCCCTTCAGTCTCCCCCTTTCAACTCGACAAATATCCAATAAGGGCACGCTGGTCCAAAAGTACCTTTAAAAAAATAGACCCTTATGATGTCACAATTATATCATCCAGGTTTTCTCTGTTTCTGAATAAAGAAACAAATATTTACCACAAAACCTGCATTACCAACTGGAAGCATGGAACTATTGAGTTGTATTATAGGAAATGTAGGATCCAATGTTTTAGGAGCTATATAATTGCTCCTGTGGGGATTGTCCACAGTATTGAGTATGTAAGTCGCTTTTGATAAAAGCGTCTAACAAATAACATGTAATGTGATATACAAAAGACTTAAAGTCAGACAGAAAATAAACTATTAAAGAAATAACCTTTAATTTGAACATTAACTGCGCTACTTTTATTTTATATTATAAAGATTGTATGCTTGTTCGGTTTGTTGTTGAAGCTGTCCAGCACTTCCTGAATGTCTCCATCATCATTTGCAGATTGTTGCCGCTGCCGTAAATCCTTTGGTTATGTAACCGAGAGACAATTGATACGAGGGCTTCAGCAGCAGCTGTTGTTTTATCAACAGGAGGCTTTAAGGAACACACAGACACACGGTGACGTACACATGGATATTGAACATGCTGTGGCTCTTTTTTTCTCAAACTGAGATCTTCTGTTTCAGGCAGTCTATGTTTATGTAAGTGTTGAGATAAAATGGTAAAGTAAAGAGCAAAAACTAAAATAAGCATTTGGATAAGAGAGTATGAAAGAGTTTAACCCTCCACTGTTTGTCTGTAAGTGTCTCATTAATGGAGACAGAGATTTATCTCAGGTCAGAGAGTCTCTGCAGTGCTCAGGAGGTGCCACGGTTTAATTTAGCCTGAAACCTGACCCCGGCCTCCTCTGTCAGCTCCTTCTCTGGGCCCAGAGCCACCAGGAGCAGCAGGCTGGGGTCTGTGGGGTCTACATGGTGTGTGTGAAATGAATGATTTTCTGCAATAACCCACACTATAGCTACACAAAGTGAGACCATGACGGTCAGAATCAGTGTTCCGGTGCAGAGCAAGTTATGCATGTGTTGGCAATAAAAGAGTACCCAGTGTCAGGATCTGTTGCATAATGCACAGTTAAAATGTTGGTTCACACACTAATGACCAGAAAGTTCACATAACAGGGACGTTCTAGGTGTGCACGTGTGTTTAAGTGCACCTGAATATACATTTGTTTGTCATCTGTGTGTGCCAATGGCTCCCATAAGGATTCCTAGGACAGTTTGAGGGTGTAAGCGACAGGCACCTGTGTCAAAAGGTCGCAGTTTTACATCTGATTTTCATCTTGTACTGATTCAAAACTAGTTGGTTAGGTTGAGGTAAGAAAACAATGTGGTCAAGTTAAGGAAAAGATCACGGTTAGGCTTACCATAATTATGTTTTTTAACGTAACTGCAAATGTGAGGGAAATTAGGTATGTTAAATAACTTGAATACGACACATATGTAGGTTATGCGTAAGTTGTGTATACATCACGGAGGTTAGGTATTATACATACATTTTGTACGTAATGTATGGCATGTTCAGAACATTGCATACACAGAAGACCTTTAACACTAAGAGTGCGGCTATTTTTTGTAGTCAAGAGTTAATGAAGTTAAAACATCAGATATATAAAGAAAGATATGCATGCTTTTTTCCAGTATATGCATAAGCTGTATTGCTGCACCGCTATGAGGAAATGGTTGAAAAAAGGTTTTGAATATAAGGCAGCTACTGTATGTCTTGATACAGATTGAATGAGAAAGGAGACTGTTCAATTCTTTTTTTCTGGAACAAAAAGGTAGTTTAGAACAAATACAGTGATTCATATCAGCCTTATTACATAGAATAAAATATACAGAATAAACAACTGTAAAGCCGTAATTGTTCGAACTGTTAATTCACTGTTAATCATGAAGTCTACAATCATGCACCATATACAGTTTATTTCACACAGCATGTTAGTTGACATGTGCTTTTCTGTGGTTCTTTTTTTTTTTTTTTAGTTTTGCTTACTATGGATCACACGCAAAAAGAAAAGTCAGATCAGCATCTCAAATCTTCTCTAATTTAGCCTTTTTCTGTTCCTCAATTCATGTATTTGGATCTTCTATTATTCAGAGCAGCCAATCGGAAATGACCTACTCCAACCCGTTTGATTTGTGGCACACAGTTTCAGCATTGGAAACATTCTGGCAGGTTGAGTAAGTGTAAATCATTTTTTTGTTTCTTTGCTCAGCTTAAATGACCCTTTGCGTTTCTCTTTTTTTGTTATAATTTAAAATCCTTTTGGGTTGCCGAACCGATCTGAAGCACAGATATAACTCTGTAACGTGTAACCTGAACAATCCAATCCAATCGTCCTATGAAGCAGGCAATTGTGAACGGCAGACTTGTACACAGGTTTCTAATACACTGTGATAAAAGCTGGAATTAGATGGTAGGAGAGTGTAACATGTCTACTTTTGTCTTTGTAGAGACTAAAACAACATCTATCACTGCCTCCTGGAACGCCTGAAACATGGCTCAGTAAGTTACACACACACACACACACACACACACACACACACACACACACACACACACACACACACACACACACACACACACACACACACACACACACACACACACACACACACACACACACAGAACTCCCAAGTGAATGCACAGGAAAACCATACAAATGTGATCATTGTGTAATCATTGATAATGTGTCCCATGTGCCTGTGTGTGACTTTAGCCTCCAGAGTGTGCAGAAGAAGACCAGCACCATGTCCCTGACCATCTCCTCTTCCTCCTCTGCCTCCGCCTCTCGGGAGCTCTCCTCCTCCTCCTCCTCTTCCTCCTCCGTGCTCGCTCAGAAACACTCCGGCCTGGTGCAGCCGCTGCTTGTCAGCCCTCCAACCGTAAATCTCCTCATATTATGGACATGACAAAGTTTAGATTGAACCTGTAGATGTGACAGTCACTGTACATATAAGTGAATTGTTATGAATAATAACATAATTCAATATATGTATCATTTTTGTATTCCCAGAGTCAGAGTCCCATCTTAAATCAACAGTACTCAGGGACAGGAGTGGCCCCTACTTTTGTTAAGGTAAGACACACATACGGTATCCTAATTATTGTTGTTTCTTGTGTCTTTCTAGTCATTGTATGTGTCTTTGAAGTCTTTTTGTAATTGTTTCATGTTTCTTTGTAGTCATTTGTTGTCTTTTTGTAATTGTTTCATTTTTCTTTGTAGTCATTTGTTGTCTTTTTGTAATTGTTTCATGTTTCTTTGTAGTCATTTGTTGTCTTTTTGTAATTGTTTCATGTTTCTTGGTAGTCATGTTGTTTCTCTTAGTAGTTGTTTGTTTTATTCAATTGTTTTGTTCTTTTGTAGTTTTTTTTTACCACCTATTGTAGTCACTCTTTCTCTTTGTGTCTCTTTCAGTGTTAGAATAAGTACTCAGATCCTACTTAAGAAAAAGTAAAATACTCCACTTCAAGTAAAAGTCCTGATTCCCAAATGTTACTTAAGTAAAAGTACAAAAAGTAAAGTACTCAACCTGCACAATTACCCATTTCAGAATAATATAAAGAAACCAAATATTATCAGCTATGCGTACTTCAAGTATCGAAAGTTAAAGTACTTGTTATACCGAATGGATTTTTTCACAGTAAAAAATCAGTATGAATGATCAATTATGTTGAGCTTTTTTGTATACATGTTTTTTAGTGATGTATTTTGTCAATGTGGATGAAATTTAGATATTGTTTTAAGTATCTGTATGTCTCTTTGTAGTTGTTTGTGTTTCTTTCTGTTCATTTGGTGTCTCTTTGTACCCGTTTTACATCACTTTGAAGTCGTTTTTTGTAGTCTTTTTGTGTCTCTTTTTGTGTCTCTTTGTAGTCGTTTATGTGTATTTGTTTTTTGAGTCTCCTCCTGGTTGATATGTGTCTCTTTTTAGGTGAATGTATGTTCATACAATGGGTGGTCTGACACACGTGGTAAACTGTATGCCTTAAATAAAAGATTACTGATTTCCTCTTCAAAGACCTTCTCTTTTCTGTCCTCTTTCCATTTCTCCTCCTCTGCCTCCACCCCCCTTCACTCTGCAGGGCCTCCATGATGTGTCCACAGTGAACGGGCAGCTGGTGGTCCTGGAGTGCAGACTGAGGGGAACCCCCCCCCTGCAGGTCATGTGGTACAGAGAGGACGAGCAAGTACTGGACTCGGATGATTTCAGGATACTACGCAAGAGTGAGTGTGTGTTTGGCAGTGGGATGGGGTCTTATGACCTGGAGATAAATTGGACTTTACACTTACCAAATCCAAACAATCAAGCAAAAATATACACTTTTTGTTAAATGGATACATGAATATCCTATTAAAAACATGTAATATTGTGTTAGCTTTAATTTGGCCAGAAAGTTACAGATTCTTATCTTCACGGTCAACTTGTATATTTTGTACTTTTGTAGTTCTATTTTATTTTCTATTTATTTGTATACTGTTTATATTGTATAATTGTTTATATTACATTTAAACATATTATTATTATTATTATTATTATTATTATTATTATTATTATTATTATTATTATACTACTCTTTTTAATTTCAAATTATGTGCAATACTTAGTTTTACATGCTGCTGCTGCTGCAATGAAAACATTTCCCAATTTGGGATCAATAAAGTATATCTTATCTTATGGGGTAGTGGTGCACTTCCCCCTCTTGTGGCTCAAATAGTTATTACAACAACAAACACCTTGCAAAATATAATGGATAACAAGAGTTTTATTTTCTTACTCTCCTCTCAGGGCCTTTGTAATTGCTCAAATCAGTATGTTTTGCATTCGAATGACTGGTACTGAGTCTGATTTGCAGAAGTTTCCTATTCCTCTTGAATGTAAATATGGTCTGAGCCGACTAAAAAAGAATTGACTTTTCTTTCTCCTTGTTTTCCCAGAGGCCAGCTCTGCATCAGTGCCAGGTAAGTACAGAATATACAAAAAATACTTTTACAAAACATATATTATTTATTCTTACCTTGCTATAATTTCTTTCAACTAAAGTTGTTTTTGTAATACTTTCACCTTTCCGGTACCCCAATAATCTTTTAAATAACACCCCCTTAATGAAACCGGCTTATTTGGATGAAAGGCTTTAACTCTGTCCAGGAAGCCAGGTCAAATACATTTAACATTTTAAGAAATGTGACATTATATTGTATTTTGTAATTTGCTTTTTTTAAATTATCGTTTTATTTCGTTTTTTTAACTTTTTTATGACATAACGTTACAGAAGTGAGTGTCTTTTACAGGTTGACTGGGTGATTTACAGTGACAATGACAGCTACCCGAACAATGCTTAAAGGAATGAGATGTTATCTATATACAATGTTCATAAACAAAGTGCAGTTTTAATCCTGTCTGGAAACGAAAGTGAAAGACTTTATTGAATGAAAACATTTGTACTGTTCTGTTGTTCCCCTCCACAGAGGAGCTGTGCACACTGGTGATCACAGAGGCCTTTCCAGAAGACTCGGGCATTTTCAAATGTGTCGTCATCAACCCCTTCGGCACGGTCTCCTGCTCTGCCATCTTAGAAGTTTACAATGGTTAGAAAGTCACTTCATATAGCACCATAAATCTTCTATTACAGTTTCACCAGTTGATCTGTGTTAAACAAATACAAATGAATAGTCTTGCTTTTAAAATCAGCCATCTCTTGCTTTGCAGACCTGGAGGAGCAGCTGGAGGTGGAGGCAGCCAGTCAGCAGGTAGCAGCTTCTCTCCGACAGGAGCAGGAAGCCATGTTCCATCAGGAGACTTTCAGCGACGACTTTCCATCAGAGCTGCCTGACTCCATGACCCTTCCCCCGCCTGAGTGGCCTGAGAGCCCGCTAGAAGATAACAGCCCAGTTGCAGAGTGAGTGGATGGTACACACACACGCACGCACGCACGCACGCACGCACGCACGCACGCACACACACACACACACACACACACACACACACACACACACACACACACACACACACACACACACACACACACACACACACACTTACGTCAATATCAGTAAGTCTGCATTGGTAAACATTATATAACAATGACCTCAGTGTCATGCAAACATAATAATTGTAATAGATTTCTTTTGTTATGACATTATGCTTCTTAGTGACCATGTTACTGGAGTGTATCAGGGTCGGACATCTGGGGGGGAAATGTATTAATATATTTGTACATTAATGATAACAAATGTAGTGCAGGGAATAGCAATCAAGCTTTCAGAATGAGAATGAGAATACATTCAAAATCGTATTTTGTTGAAATCTTAAGATTTTTTTTTCAATAATTCTAATCACTAACATAAGTAAGTAAAGTCGAAAAGTCTTTTCGATTTCACAGTTTAAATTTCGAAAAAATATGTTTTACCTTATGCCTTGCCCTAAAACTCCTCTGTCTATTATTGACATGCGTTACATTTAATTGAGTAGCAAAAGCTCTTAGCAAGTTCCTATTAATCAATAAAATGTTAAATTAAATAAAGGACACATTTTTGTGAGTTTGAGTGACTTTTTGACATATAGTGGGTCATTCATGAGCATGCATTTCAGTCTTTGTAAAGAATTGTAGTTCCAACTTACATCCAGACGAGGCCGCTCTTGTATCAATACACAATGTCACTGAGGTACCATGTTCAAGTTCAATTTCTTCTTTTCTTTTGTGTGTTTCTTTCTTTCTTTCTTTGTTCCTTTCTTTTTTCTTTCTTTGTTCCTTTCTTTTTTTCTTTCTTTCCTTATTTAGACTTACTTAATGGTAGCATTCCAAGTGAGAATTAAACAAAAACATATGAGTTACTTTTAGGCCTAAAACTGTGAACAAAAACTGCAGCTTTTGAGAAGGGCTTTTGAACACTAATTGAAGAACACAAATACATAATAATAATCAAAGAAAATAACATATATGTTAGAGAAAGGTGCCAGCCAGTCAGAGAGGGGTTCTGAGGTTAATTAGGTGCAGTTGTGATGACGTTGCTCTGCTTTTGGGAAATTGAGCCAATCAGCTGCACCCTCGCGGCCCCGTCGCGCACACCCCTCGTGAGCGCGCAGTGTCACTTGTTGCGGTCCAGCCTCCTGCAGGACGGAGTTTGGGTTCCCCTCAGCAGGGAAAGTCCAATTCTTCTTAGCCAGTAATGAACTTTAAGGAAAGTGGTGCAGAAACCTTAAACTAGGTAAGAAAATATCCTCTTCGTCTTTGAACAGAGTGTTACCGGCTGCTTTTTCACCTGCCGTCCGGAAATGTTGCTATTTGTTGTGGCATTTGCAACCTCTGTAAAGTATGTCTACATTGACGCTAACTCTTTAAACATGCTCGTTTTACCTACTTGTTTATATCATGGAAACGTAACGCTATGTGGTCCTGAAAAGGTCACACTATGTTTAGAGAGCACTTGGAAAGAGGACTTTACTCTATTTTGGGGCTTTGCGTCATCTGGCTCGCTGCTCTTTCGCACATGTTGAGGAAAACCGAAGTTAAACGCCCAGTGAAAAGTATTTTAAAAATATATAATAATATATTTAAATATGTCGTAAAAATGCAGCTATGTGTGAAAGAACACTCGACGCCTGTTGTAACCATGATGCAGGTAAACTATAAGGAGATATCTTAAACATATAAACACATCACTAAACCAGTGGAGAAAGAAGTATTCAGGTTTTAGACTTAAGACAACACAATTGCTCAAATGGTATGTTACAAATAAAAGTCCTGCATTCAAAACCTTACCTACATTAAAGTACGTGCATCAAAGTATATTAAGATACCAAAAGTACTAATTCAGCCTAATGGCCATTTTCAGAAAATCATATTTTAAATGACTGGATTATTTATGCTGCATTAATGTGTCTAATCTAATTGTATTTTATTTTGTATAATGCTGCTGGATTTTTTAACCTATAATGATATGTCAATGCTTATTCATTTGCATTTATTTGATTTATTTGTTGTACTAGCTAATATTCTGAATATCAAAATAAAAATAGTATAATTAACGTAGTGGAGAAAAAAGAATAATACTGACTTCCAAACTGCAGTTGCTTAGAAGAATAGAGTACCTTAAGTACCTTAAAATAGTAAAATACTTGAGTAAATGCACTCTTATTACATTTTAAAGTGATATGATATCAATGCTCACTTTCCTGGGAGTCCTTCTGCTTCAGGGATACACTTAGGGAAGCACCAGACCTTCTTTATTGTGCTGGTGACATGCATACTTCAGCCAAGTGGTCCCTTACTTTGGGCCATGAGCTCATCTGTAAAGTGGCGATATGGGTGTGTCCTTCAGACTACTAAGTTAACAAAAGAGCTCATATTGTTAAAAATATTGTACACAACCCAAATTAATATTTTTAAATAGTTCTTTATGTGTGAGGGAAAAAATACAAAGTATAGAGTGTTGCTAAATTTGACCTAAACACGAAAATTAATTATCAGTTTTGCACTTCCGGGTCCCTCGTTTCAAGGTCAACTGTTTCTTGAATTCGTTTTTGGTTAGATGACTGAAATAAGTTCTGTGGCTAAGACAAGCTTAAGATGTTTTCATGTTTTGTTCTACAAAATAAAATACATCAGTAAGTATCCCACTGGTGAATGTGCAAAGCTTTTACATATCTTAAAAAGAGCGTTTGCTAACAACAGGAGCGGACTGGGACTACAAATCAGCCCGGGATCTACGGTATCTCGACCGGCCCACTTCGGTACCGCCGGCTCACCTCGGTACCGCAAGTAAATACCGCTAGTAAATTCCGCTAGTAAATACCGCTAGTAAATACCGCTAGTAAATTGTCGACGGGGGGGCGGGGGGTGCTAGTGACATCGTCCGACCGGCCCACTTCAGTACCGGCCCATCGGGATTCGTCCCGAACGTCCCGATGGCCAGTCCGCTGATCATTTGTTGCCTTTAGCTTAGCGGTGTTGATGTGACGTCATGTGACCGTGATGTAGTTTGTTTATAGCTTGACGCTAGCTTTTTTACTTCTGGCAATTGCATTTATGCTTAAAAAAACATAAAACAGGTATTTCTGTGGGAAGATTATCCTGCTGAACAAAACATGTACGTATCATAAACGTCTGTTTGCCACAGAGCTTATTTTCTGCAACATTTGAAACTCCAAGGGAGAATCCCATTGGCTTGTTGTCGCGGGAGCCCTTGGGATGCTAACTTCCAGGTTGGCCTACAGAAATGCGTCATCGATGCACCACTCTACGATGCATTCAAGTTCAGCCATATAATTAGATACTTGTGAATAAAATGCTGTTTTGCAATTGTTGATATTGCACCACAAATATCAACCTGTGTGAAATCATTCAAAAGTATGAAATTGGGTGTTTGATTGCACTCAGTAAGTGCGTCTTTAATGTTGACTTGGTGCGTCAGTTCATATTTGAAACCAGCGAGTGTTCATAGTGTGTGAAGTATGTTTGGCTTAGTGTGTGTCCTCTCTGTATTAGTGTTTAGGGCTATGATCTCATCTGTAATGTGAAGTGCAGCCAATGGCGCCTGTGTCCTTCAGAACCCCCCCCCCCCCCTCAGTGGCGCTGCACAACAACAGTTGTTCATTGGCGGGATTCTGGCCTTTAAGGTCACGTTGAGGTTCTCCAACTTGAAGTGTATCTCATTGTTTAGTTGACTTGATTGCTCGGTGAGGACAATGAATTGGATTGCCTGTTGGTTTGGACTTTGAAACTATAGAAAGAATAAGGAATCACAGATCAATGATAAAAGGACGTAGTAGTTATGGCAAGGTAAATATTTATTTTAACGTTAATAAAAAGGTTTTTTGTACGGTTTGTTTTACCCCTCATCACCAAATTGAAATAATGTATTTCAGTACAGTGTTGAAGTGTTTTCAGAATCCAGCAGATTTAATTTTCGAAAGTTTATTAGATTATGTCTAGCATTCATATTGTCTTCCCCGTTGTTGCTGGTCAAACAGAGGATTTAGGACAGCTTAGCATTCTCCTACCCACAATGCCGTGTGTGTGTGTGTGTGTGTGTGTGTGTGTGTGTGTGTGTGTGTGTGTGTGTGTGTGTGTGTGTGTGTGTGTGTGTGTGTGTGTGTGTGTGTGTGTGTGTGTGTGTGTGTGTGTGTGTGTGTGTGTGTGTGTGTGTGTGTGTGTGTGTGTGTGTGTGTGTGTGTGTGTGTGTGTGTGTGTGTGTGTGTGTGTGTGTGTGTGTGTGTGTGTGTGTGTGTGTGTTGTGTGTGTGTGTGTGTGTGTGTGTGTGTGTGTGTGTGTGTGTGTGTGTGTGTGTGTGTGTGTGTGTGTGTGTGTGTGTGTGTGTGTGTGTGTGTGTGTGTGTGTGTGTTAAAAGGGTTGACTCCCCAGTAGTGTCTGCACCTGCCAGCTGATGTCCGAATTCCAAGACCGATATAGCGTTCCCCAGTTAATCACACAAATATGCATACTGTATACCAACACAGTACTATCTCTCTCACACACACACACACACACACACACACACACAAATTACTTTCACATAGTAGCATTTAAGTCATAGAAAGTGACTAGAATAGAATCGTTTAATGTCATTATACATGTACAATGAGATAAATAAATGCTTCTCCCTGCCATCAAAACAAAAAACATCACAACATAAGACAACAAATACACGCAGCATACATACTTATAAAGTGCAGTAATTATTTCCAGGAGTATAAAAATAAAATCTATAATGTAATAAATAATAATAGTAGGTATGTATTTATTATAATAATAGTTGTTGTGTCACACCCCCTGTAGTTGGTTATGTTCTTATTGCCCTGCCACACCTGCCTAGGGTTGTTGCTTGTGAGGTGGTCCTCAATCCTTTCTTTGTAGTCTGTCTTGGCTTTTGTAATTCCTCTCCTCAGGTCGGCTCGAGCAGCACTGTAGAGAGCTCTGTGCAACCCATAATAAGTTACACACAATGACAAACACTTTAGTTTTTTTAGCCTGGACTCCAGATTAGATAGAAGGATTTTTGTAATAGTTTGTTAGGGATGAGAAGGTCATGAAGAGTCTTTAAAGCAATGACTGGTGTATGTAATAACATCAATCATTGCTGGATTACATCCAGGTGGCACTTCAAGGAACCTGAGTCACCTTAAATGCAACAGAGCCATCGTTAATGTCATGAGCAACACCTGTGCTCTTTCTGCAGTGACGTAAGAGTGCTAACAATACATCCATTTGGGCATAGATGACTGCCGATCAGTACAAATCATTCAGTATAGAAATAGCTCAAATATGTTTCACATAATGTAGAGCAGTTGCTATTTCTTAAATGCAAAAGGGCTCAGGCAGATCTCATATTTGTAGCGTTTTTAATAACAACATTTAAAATGTTCTTATTATGTTTATGTTAAATAAAAATGCAATATCGGTTAACATAAAGTCTCCATATAGATTGCATCCTCTGAGGATAACGGTACACAGAAAATAATATATAGGTGTTATGTTTATATGGTGTAGCAGCAGAATGGTTGAAATGGTTCTTTACACTTATAATACAAATAGTATACAGTATTTAGTGTATATATATATATATATATATATATATATTGTTGCCAGAGGACCAAACGCTGCCTTAGTCTTAACACTTACGCTAATGTCTTTTGAAAAGAAAACGTTTTCAAAATGTAAATGAAGCTATAAATCTGAAAGTAAATTCTCATGCCTTTTTAAATAAAAAAGGTTTAGCTTAACGGGAACCCACTTGCGAGTCTTCCTCCCCCTTCGTTTCACTTGCCCTCGCCATGGTCTGACTGACTGGGATCTCAGAATGAGTTTGTTGTTCAATGAATCGGAATCTTATCATAATCAATATATTGACAAGTGCAATATTCAAATAGCAGAAAACCTAACATTTGTTAAATGCTCAAAAGGCCTACAAATCGTATTCTACACACTCAACCAAAGGTTTTGGCACAGATTCATTATAAAAATAATAATAATAATAAATGTTTCAATGATAACGACATTACTGATGCAAACATCATCAACATGATCACATTTTCATTCCAAATCGTGCATCCCTAGTACTAACTTCAATACATGTTGCTGAGAGGTACATCTTAACGTTTTCAAGTTTGTGATCTTTCAACATTACATGAATCAATATAGTACTTATCGTGTTTGGACAAAATGCTAGTCTCGCTGGAGGGAACCGCCTGGCAGTAATGGTTCTGTTAGCCCTATCAAAGGAGCTTTTAGATTACCATTAGTCTCTTGGTAAGTGAGATATGTCAACGGTTGGCCACTTAAACACTCAACATTATGCTCATCACTTGCTTATTGAAGCTACATTATTGCTGTTTGTAGTCCAACATGTTTTAATGACTTCCATCTATACACATGTTCTGTCATTGAGAAACCTCTCACTCCCAGGATGTCCATCAGTGTGTATTTAGACTGTGGGTCAGCTGATCCGGCTAGCCTAAACTATTTAGTGCCAGAAAAACACTGAGCAAGTGTGTGTGAATGGATGAGTGTGTGAGAGGCAGCGATGAGAGAGACTGCGATGAGAGAGACTGCTATTGTCATTATGCTCCTGCGTAGCCCCGGACGACGTGGTAGTCATGGGAACAGCATTCTTTCCTGGAAGAAAAGTGGAGAAGCAGGCAGGCTCGCTATAACAGGAAGAAAAGTCCTGGGTGAGCTGAAATGAGAGCAGAAACATGATATCTGTTTCTCTCATTACACCGTCCCAGTAGTACCATGGCAGCCGTACTGTAAATACAGGAGAGAGCTTTTGTCCTGTTAGCTTCAGCAGCCTCCGTCAACTTTCTATAAAACAAGTGAACAGGAACTACTGTTTAGTTCATACTGAAACCATGTTGAATCTATTTATCAGAAGACCAAGGCAACTTATCATCTAGTTGTCCTCCATGCAATTGGATTGTTGCTCTTTATTTAAGGAACGACTGCTGTTTGACTTTCATATTTGGTCTCGGTTTATTTGTTATGGATAAAATCCCCTTGAGATTTAGGAACACTGTTGCAAAATGAGTGATGGCCCGGAATATATACATTTTAAGACCCTAACATCTTAAAGAATAGTTATTCTCCATGCATTTGGAATTGTGCTCCTCATATGGAACTGCTGCTGTTTTGATCTTTTATGAACTCTGTAGGGACATTATTTCTGTATTTCTTCTTGGGTTGCAACTAGTATGCTTTGTGGATTTTTTTCATGACAATAAACATATCTATCTATTGGAAATAATAGAAATAAGATCAATTTAATTGAGTTGAGCTTTACTCAACAACACTGACGTATTTAAAGTGTATTGAATATCATTTCACAACACCAACAATCCATATAAAGACTTTTCTTTACAAATTGGATATAACATTTAATTGACAAACATTATCCTTTCCATCCTAATGTACCTTCAGGTGTTATTATGAATATAATCACATCTTCACCTACATGTCTTTTTCTGTCTGTCAGTTTTCCAGAGCCTCAGCCGGCGTACTACTGCTCTGAGGAACCGTTTGGTCGCAGTGAGGAGGAGAGAGCCCTGAGCTCAGAGGGCCAAAGGTCACCAGGGGTCACCGTCCGCGCCTTTACGCCCAGCCCTCCCCCCCCACCCTCACCACCACCACCAGCCCACGTCAACGAGAAAACTACACCAAAGCTGTTCAGCCCAAGCAGGCTCATTTTTACTGTAAGGGCATTTCTTACACTCATGTTCTGATCTCTCTGTTGGGTGGTGCAGCGATGACGTCATTTTGTAGGTCAACCCAGAGAATATCATAGCAAGAAGTCCCTCAACAAAAGTCTGTTTAGATTTTGGAAGATTGCAATCTCTGGGGCAAACACATGTTTATGATACTTACCTGTATTGTTCAGCAGGATAATCTCCACATATCAACATGTCTTTTATGATATTTGAAGCGTAAGTAAAAATGACTCCACGCCAACAATGTGAAGCTAAAAGTCGCCTAATGTTTGCCGTGATGACGTTAAGTAGTAAGATGTTCACCATTTGCGTATTTACTGACGTATTTTATGTGGTAAAACTAAACGTAAAAATCTCATAAGTTTGTGTTAACCAAATTTAAACAAAAAAAACGTTCAAAAATCAATTGACTTTCAGAAGAGGCAACTGGAAGGTGTAAAATGCAAACTAATTTCCGGGTTTTAAGACTCATTCCTGCACCACTTTATAGCTCTCTGTTAATGCTTTACTACTCTCTTGTGGGTACCACTTTACAATAAGACTACCCTTATAAAGGATTCATAAAGGGTTTATAATTAGGTTATTAATTAGGTTGTAAACACTTTGTTAATCATTAAGAACCATTTATAAACCAGTTCTAACATAGATACATACATCAACACAGGCTCACTATTTGGCAAGATGACTAAGCCTTATATTGGCTACTTAGCGAGAATCAACTCAGTGAACAACAGATACCAAGGATGCTGGCTGATGAAGAAGACGAAGTAAGCTAAGTAGCCAATATAAGACTTAGCAGTACAGATAAATGTGGGCTCACTATTTGGCAAGCAACCGGTCACAGTTGCCCTGTTTATCTCATGTCTTATAAAAGCTTATTAATGATTTATAAAGTGTTCACAACCTAATTAATAAATGAATTACAAACTATTCGTAAACCCTTTATAAGGGTAGTCTTATTATAATGTGGTACCCTCTTGTGTTACTTAAAACTTCATGTTTAAACGAAGGAAAATGTATTCAGGTTTTGAAACGTGTGTATCTTCTCCCTCCCAGTCTTCCCAGCCTGGAGGAAACAGCACGAACATGTCAGACCTGCCGTCCTTCACTCCCAGCGTCTTCCCTCCCAGCGCCTTCAACTACGAGCGGCCGAGGCATTTCATCCAATCACAGGCGGCCTTTCAAGCCCCCAGCTACGAGAGCGTTCTGAAAGAGGCCCATGAGAACCAAAACAACTCTCAACAGAACCTCATCAGCTCCCAACATGTTACAGAGACACAGAGCCAAGCCAAAGTGATGTCTGCCCAAAGTCAGTCTTTCTCTCAAACTCAGTCGGTGTCCAAGTCCATGTCGCAGACGCAGGCACAGTTTCAGTCACTGAGCCTCAGTCAGAACCAAACCCAGTCTGTGGCGCAGACCCAGGCCCAAACCCAGGTTCATAGCCATGCCCAGGCTCAGTTACAATCCAAAACCGAGGCCCATACCCAGGCTGTGATGCAAACACAAACCCACACCCAGGCCCAGGCCCAAACGCAGGTTCATAGCCAGGCCCAGGCCCAGGTTCATACCCAGGCCCAGGCCCAGGTTCATAGCCATGCCCAGGTTCATAGCCATGCCCAGGCTCAGTTACAAACCCAAACCGAGGCCCATACCCATTCCCAGGCCCTGATGCAAACACAAACCCACACCCAGGCCCAGGCCCAGGTTCACACTCAGGTTCATTCTCAGGCCCAGGCTCAGGCCCAGGTCCAGATCCAGTCCCAGGCCAATGGCACCAGCAAGTCCTCTCCATCCTCTTCAAGTCTCAGCTCTCCTATCTCCACCCCTGCCTCCTCCTCTGCTCCTTTCCCCCCCCCCGCCATCCTCCCCTTTCCCCGCCTCCTCCGCCCCTTTCCCCCCCCCGCCATCCTCCCCTTTCCCCGCCTCCTCCGCCCCTTTCCCCCCCCCCGCCATCCTCCCCTTTCCCCGCCTCCTCCGCCCCTTTCCCCCCCCCGCCATCCTCCCCTTACCCACCCTCTCTCCCCCGCACCACCATGCGTTCCACCATCACCCTCACCCCCAGCATCCCCAGTGCCACGGGCCTGGGCAGCGCCACCCTGCCCGCCAACCAGGACTCCATGTCGGCCCCGGCGGCGTTCCTCTGCTCCGTGCTGCCCTCCCCCTCTGCCTTCTCCCCTTTCTCCTCCTCCAAGCTGTCCCCCAACTCCAGCCTCCCCCACCCCTCCATCTCCCCCGCCCGCTCGCCACTCTCCCCCTTTCCATCTCCCCTCCCTCAGCAGCATCTCCCAGTGTCACCTTGCCTCCCTCGCTCCCCTCTCTCTCCCTCCTCCCCCTCATCTTTCCCGCAACCCAACACTCCCAACGGTCAGAGCAGAGTCCCCCCCGCTGTGGTCTCCCTGCCCGCCAGCTACAAGGCAGCACCAAGCATGTGAGTCCAAAGATAAAGTATATCATATATTTGGCATGCAAATGTTAACAGACGATTGAAACGTTCCCACGCTTAAAAGACATTGCTAGGAGGATAGAGCTGCACAATGTTTGTCTCAGGGGAACTATGTTTGAATCCAAATTCTTAAGGATTGTGGTGCAGCAGAGAGGTCCCGGCTTACTAAACGTATTGGACAGACATAATAAAATGAATATTAACATAGAATATTTTATATACAGAATTAGTTATATACGTTGAATTCAAATTTAAATACTACAAGGTTGAGTGTGAATTTTAATATGTGCAATTGTGCAGGGTTATAGAAAGAGTAAAACATAGAAAACATTGAAAGAGAACTCTGAAGCTGTGAGTTCTCTGCAGGCCAGTGCTCTTCAAAGGAATCATTTCCTGTAACCATCCTATTACTTTTTTATTCCTTATCAAAACCCATATATCTAGCTATATTTAAAAGCATGGAGCAATCATTGCTATCTATATTTACTGCCTGCATTTAATAGCATCTTTTAGTAAAAACTGTCCAACCAAATGTTTGAGCATTCTTTCATAAGTGATGCACAGCAACAGGAGATATTCTGTAGTCTTCTCTTCTTCATCACTGCTTAAATGTTGTTCCTCCCTCTTTTTGTCCCGATTGCTATCCCACAGCCTTCCAAAGCCCATCCTGAAGAAGGCTGTGGCTCCGCGGCCCTCTTCCTCTCGCTCCACCGATGATGACATCCAGGGCTCCAAAGACGCCCTCATCCAGGATCTGGAGAAGAAGCTGCGCTCCAAGGAGGCCAGGAGGAGAGGCAGCCAGGTGTGTGTGTGTGTGTTTCCTGCAAACTGAGTTAGAAGTGCAAGTTTTAAATAAACATTCCCCCCTCGACACACACCACCCCAGCCCTTCACGCTTACACAGTGTGTGTGTGCTTGAAACATAAAATAACGTATAATTTCAATAGTTTACCAATAAAATAAATGAAATTTAACAGAATAAAGCTTTATTTTCGAACAGAAACTGTCCTATGAGGAGCGTATGGCTCGTAGGCTGCTGGGTCCAGACAACGCCAACTCCATGTTTGACCAAGACGGTCTCTCAGACTCACAACTCGACCAGGTACGACCACAAACGGTCAAGTAGTTAGTGGACACCATGATTATAACATAAAGATGTGTGTTGCACTGCTGCACACACATTCATGTTGGCTCTGCTCCAAACCCATTAGTGTTCTCTTTGCTATTAAAGAAAGAACACACATCATTACAGGCTGCACAGTCCCCCTCTCAGGGCCTCCGTGTGTGTGTGTGTGTGGTGTGTGTGTGTGTGTGTGTGTGTGTGTGTGTGTGTGTGTGTGTGTGTGTGTGTGTGTGTGTGTGTGTGTGTGTGTGTGTGTGTGTGTGTGTGTGTGTGTGTGTGTGTGTGTGTGTGTGTGTGTGTGTGTGTGTGTGTGTGTGTGTGTGTGTGTGTGTGTGTGTGTGTGTGTGTGTGTGTGTGTGTGTGTGTGTGTGTGTGTGTGTGTGTGTGTGTGTGTGTGTGTGTGTGGGGGTGTGTGTGTGGGGGTGTGTGTGTGTGGGGGTGTGTGTGTGGGGGTGTGTGTGTGTGTGGGGGTGTGTGTGTGTGTGCGCAGCGGCTATTTCTTGCCTACTTTCTCAGAACGAGCCCATGTCACCAGTGACAACAGGGCTATTGTGTCAGAATACACACACACACACAGTTACCCTCCTGGCGTTTTGTCACACTAAAACGCTTCTTTTGTAAGTTACGAGCTGTGAATATTACCTTTGCTTGTATTGGTTTGTTTTATTTTACAGCCAGAAGCACCAGAAGGAAGACACACAGGAGGATTATGGTAAACAACATTAATTGATGTATCAATGTTGAACCTGATGATTAACTCATCAGTGTTATTTACCTGTGTGTTTCACCTTGAAGTGATTTAAATTCAACTTTTAAAGCTCTTGTATGTTATCATGTGAAATAAATCTTCTATTGGGCTGAGATAGGTACATTTCAAACATTTTTTAATTGAGCTTTTAAATTACTATCTGACTTCCCCAATATGTGTGACGAGCAATTGTTGCCCCAAGTTGCAAACAAAGCGCTTTGTGTTGTGCCATAAATCCTCCTAGTGTGCTATAACTCCACTGTCTTTCAGGAGAGAATGAACTCAACCTGTAGTCGTGATATAAAAGGACAGCAACACATAAGTGTTAATATGCTTTATTTGTAGAATGTTTTTATTGACGCACAGATACAATCATACAGTTTTACTACGGTGTGTTTCCTTCCTTTTTCCATTGTGTCCCCTTCAGAACTCCCCCCACCCCATAATGACATTGATTCCATAATAGGAAAAGAAAACGAAATAAATGGGAAAACAAAATTGTGAAAATGTATTGAAAATAAATGTCATTAAGTAACAGTGCAACATAATGACTATAACAATACAAATACAGAGTTAGAAAAAGCTCCCGGTTCTCAAGCCAAATAGAGGTACAATTGGGAGACAAGCTTATAAAGATCCCACCCACCTGTCTTCTGAAACCCCAAACATTGTTATACAGGTGCTGCGCTTCAAATCCTTCAAACTATAACTTTTGATGAGGTTCAAAAACAAAACTTCAGGAGTCCTTTAGTTTGGGACAAAAACAGGAAATATGAGCTAGGTTTCAATACGGTTTATTGTGTGTGTGCTGTCACTCTCCAAATGGAGTCATTGAAAGTGAGGTTATGAATGAGTAATGTCTGTCTCCCTGCAGGGGGAGGCGCCACACAGGGACGGATGAGAGGGGGAATGAGGGCTCAGCTATCCAGGAGAAGTCGTACGCTCCTCGCTTCCTGCAGATCCCTTCAGACCTCACTGTGGAGGAGGGGCGCTTCTGTAGGATCGACTTCAAGGTGAATCCCCCTCACATCAAGGGCTTCACATTTACACGTGTATTAAAGGTCTCCTATTCTACTATTTTTAGGCATATATTATAGGTCTCAGATTTATGAAAATATATTAAAAACATGTCTATGAAGTGTTTTGCTCAATGTTGTAGCATGCCTCATACCCCTCTATTTCAGCCCTGTTAGAGAAGTGCTGATTCTGGGTCTGTAGCTTTAAATGTTGCTGAGCTGCTGCTGGCCACGCCCCTTTGGCGCATTCATGAAAATTCTACACATTCTCAGCTAAACGCTACCGTGATTAAACGCCATATTATGTTCCAAACCACAAGGTGAGTTACTTTTTTTATACGGCTTTTTTACACATACTCTCTCCAGTACAGCGTTAGCTCTGAGTGTTAGCGATGCTTGCTAATTTGAAAATAAAGACCTATTAATCCCAAAACACGTCGCGCATTGTTTCTGAAAGCAACGTCTCTGATAGGGCCGTGGGCGTAAAGCCAGCCCACATTTTAGTAATGTCATCATGACTGCAGAAAATCTGGTTCAGCTCCGTTGTACCCCCGTTTTTAGAGGGTTGTATTTTCTGACACTTTGTGAGTCTCCCTACACACCGGGGACACATATTTATGTAAAAAGGCATCAAAAAGCGCATTTTGCATAATAGTTGACCTTTTAATACACTTGTATTACAAGGACAGGGTCTCCCTAAATAATACGAGAATATCTCGTAGTGGTTTGGTCATGTAGAGGGGAGTTAAAGGGGGATTCTGCCTTTCTCCCCCCAGGTGGGAGGCCTCCCTACTCCAGACGTGTGCTGGTACCTGGACGGTAAAGCCATTCGCCCGGACGACTACCACAAGATGTTGGTGTGTGAGAAAGGGATGCACTCCTTCATCATAGAGATCGTCACCGTGCACCACGCCGGGGTATACGAGTGTGAGGCCAGGAACCGAGCGGGGGAGAGCAGATTCACCATGAGGCTCGATGTATTAGGTAATACATGCCATTACAGAGCTCCTGTGTTTTAAGCCTGTAAACGCTGTCTTTTTAAATAGAGTGTCATCATGTGCTGTGCATCCTCCTCTCTGCAGCCCAGGAGGCTCTCCGCCCCCCCACCTTTGTCCAGAAGATGTTGAACTCCAGAGTTCTGGAGGGAGACACGGTGAGGTTAGAGTGCAAAGTGGATGCTTCCCCCCCTCCGCAGCTCCACTGGAAGAAAGATAAAGACATGCTGCGGATCGACCCAAACAGAATGAGGTGGGTGTGATAAAGTGCTTCATTACACCCAAGCTCCTCTACATCAAACTTAATAGAGGATATTAAGAAGTACACCCTTAAAGGGGCCATATTTAGCTTTGGGGGGTTTTTCCTTTCCTGTAGTGTGTGTGTAAAGCGTATGCAAAGGCTAAAATCCCTGTGTTCTCTCCCACGCACTGGACACACATTATTATAATTGTTTTGAATTGTGCTTATGTCTTTTGAATGCTCAGCCTGCTACAGGGTGCTTTGGCCATCATGTGTTAATAACAGAGTTTAAATAAACATCTGATTGGCTGTCTTTGTTCCTCCAGTCTGTATGAGGACGGGTCGGGCCGGCAGTGCTTGTTGATAGAGAGGCTGATGAAGTCTGACGCCGGCTGGTACACCCTCTCTGCCATCAACGAAGCCGGCATGTCCACATGCAACGCCAGGCTGGACGTCGGCAGTAAGTCCTCCCTGTGTTCCTCTTTCTGTGCAGACTTGCTCCTAAAGGCCCGTCTCAGCTGTCTGTTGTCGGAGATAGCCCGTGCGTTACCATAGTAGTCAGGGCTGTAAAACCAAACAGCAGATGGTGGATGTTGTGCGCTCTATGCTACACTGAATCCTGCTCTGCTGCCTGCATCACGTCACACAAATGCTGTGTTATGTGATCGAGCTGTAACTCGATGAATGTTTAAAGCAATCGAGCTGGTAAGCTTTCCTCAATAATACTGCGGAGTGCATAAGAGAGAGAAAATTACAACACAGCTATTAGGTTTCTCCTCGATCACATAACACACCATCTGCTCTGTGGAGGAGCTGACAAAGGCTGTAAAGAAAACGACCTGACCCTCTTTTACACATGCGCTGGACTGTGTAGGGTGGTGCGGGAATGAGTCCTTAAAGTTGGAAATTAGTTAGCATTTAACCACTTCCAGTTCCCTTGTCTCAAAGTCAACGTTTTTGTTGTTTTTGATTAGATTCCCGAAATAAGGTTTGTGGTTTAAACAAGCTTACGAAATATATATGTTTTGTCCTACGACATAGAATTTGTCAGTAAACATCCCACTGGGGAATGTCTGAAGCTTCTGTGTGTCATGACAAAGGGTGTTTCTAAAGATAGGACTTCTAAACATCAACACGGCGAACATGAGCTGCCTTTAGCTTAGCAGTGGTGACGTGAAGTCATGTGACCCTCATGTAGTTTGTTTATTGCATCACATTAGCTATTTCCTTCTAGGGATTGAATTTAGGCTACAAAAATGTAAAAAGTCGTCTTAATATGTGGAGATTATCCTGCTGAAAGTTTGTTTACCACAGATCTTATTTCTGCAATATTTCAAAATCCACTGCTTTTTGTCGAGGGAGCCCATACAATGCTAACTTCCGGGATGGCCTACAACAATGCATCATCCCTGCACCACGCAGAAAATGGACTACTTGATCAGAACCAGGACTCAGACACTTTAGAGCAGGGCTATTTGTTTGTGAGTTGGACAGCAGAAGGTTTAACATTGAGGGACACATTGTCTCTACATGTGAGTGAAGGTCCCCTCTCTGTCTCTGAGCCTCGTCCTGCTGTCCTGTGCTGTGGTGGCGGGGCAGAGGAGTTATTTTCAGACAGCAGGCATGAGAGGAATGTTTACCCACTCCTCCACCACTCTAATCTGGAGCTGCTGTTTGAGACGCCAGCAGTTTGTAACCCAACCTCAGTCAGTTACACATGCAGGGAGTTTCTTTACATTGAACACAGACATCTGCTTGGACAAGAGCATCACATGGTTAGAATTTGGTGGGAAAAGGTCTAAGGTGTCCTAATGTGTCCTCACATTTGTCTTGTATATAATGACGTTTTACGACAGACCATACTCTGACATTCTACAGGGTTTTCACCAATATCAGATATGTCCCACATTGCTTAAAGAAAGAAAACAGTGGGGTCGTCAGGGCTGACACATAGTAACAGATTTACTTTCACACTTAATGACCGCCAAAACTCAATGAACATAACTTGTATATCTTTATCTTGAACTTTTTATTTGACAAATCGTTGTATTGCGGGAAGAAACCGGAGTACACCCTGACGTCGGCACAGGAAGCAGACAGGATGATCTCTCTAGGGATAAGGAGGTCTTGTGGTCATCCTGCCTGCGCTGTGTTGACGTGGTCCAGACGACCCCTGGTCTTTCACAGATCTCAGGAGTCAAAAACCTTCGTCATCCATTTCAAGAGCCAAATTATCTTCAGTTCTCTCCTCTTCTTCAAAACAGACCTTTCAAATATATAGTCTTTAAAAAACTCTGAATGAGGAAGTTTCACGTAAAAACGTTTTTTCTACATATATTCCAATAATACAATTATTTACTTCTAGTTTTTGTTATTTAAGATGTTTTCTCTTACCTACCTGACCTTTTTTCTTTACCTTGTTTTAAAAGAAGGAGGTTCTTTACACTACAAATGCAGTTCCATTCTTAACTATATCATCTTTCTACGACATACTAGTACATTTTTCGTTGCATATAAGTATCTTTTTGATGACTTGAATCACTTTTTATACTTTTTTTTAATATGAGTTACTATAGTATGACTTTTAAATATTTGTGTTGACATTTTTATGATATTCCGACTATACTATGAATATAAGGACTTTCATTCTTTAACAACGTACAATCCTATGACATTTTTCATGACATATTACATTTTGTATTGATGCCATTGTTTTAAATTTAAATGACAGACAATACTGCAGTCCTGTAGTAATTACAGTCACTTCTCTGCCTTGTGTTTGTCAACAACATAGCATTTCAAACAGATTTCTGTCCGGCAGTGGCTCAGTCAGTAGGGGCTTGGACTGTGAGCCGTAGGGTCGCCGGTTCAAGTCCCCGACCAGACCTAAATATGGAGTGTGGACTTCTACTTGGAGAGGTCCCAGTTCACCTCCTGCCCTGCCGTGGTGCCCTTGAGCAAGGCACCGGACATCCCCCTTCCCCCCTCACTCCCATTGCTCCCCGGGCGCTGTACAGTAGCTGCCCACTGCTCCTAGTACTAGACTCCTGGTACTAGGATGGGTTAAAAGCAGAGAACAAATGTCACTGTGTGTGCTGTGTGCTCTGCATGTGTGACCATTAAAGAGGGTTTCATCCCTCTCAATTCTTCTTCTTCATGTCTCATTGAATTCATCCCTCCCCTTTTTTTGTGCCCCCCCCCTCCCCTCCCCCTCAGCTCGCAAAGCCCCGAAGACAGTGCCCCCTGGCTCCAAGACGCTGAAGCTGCTGTCCTCGCTAAAACACGTGCCCTCTCTGACCGTGGAGACCCCCGCCCAGCACACCGCCCCTCTGTACGAGAGTGAAGAGCTGTAGAGCCTCGCACAACCCTGTCACATCCTCACATAACATCACACATTTCAGAAGTGTCAAAACTGGGCCTGGCAGAGGTTTTACTAAGTAAGCTTTGGTTCAGATTTACAGCAGTGCAGCAGACCAGGACACAAAAACACTGCGTGGCCATTTTGACTGATAAACTCTACAGGTTCACTCTACATTTCTTGGAAAAATGAGGTAACATGTTTGCCAATTTTTTAAGATCAAGGCAAAATTACAGTGAAAATCTATGTACTAAATAGTGAAATATTATGGTACAAAATGTGCCTTCAAAACCACAACTCTAACCAAAAGGAGCAGTTGGTAGCTACTTTGATTGAAATGTTTCCATAGTGTTTTGCCTTCTGCGTTAAAATAAGCCCTCATCATGCTGCCCACCTGCTGCTGTTTCTCCCAGTGTGCCTGTCCTTTCTCTGCAGACCTGATGTTTGATACATGCCTCTAAGCCTCTCCTGCTGTCTGTCATGCTCTCAGCTGAATGGTGCCTTCAGGTCATGGCTGTATTAATAGACCTGGATAACGTGCTGCAGACTGCACTTTAATCCTGACAACTGTCAGCTTGTGCCTCGATTTTGTATTCGAGCCTTCCAAAGTCCCTGAATCACGGCTTCTGAGGATGTGCGTCCGTAAAGCTCCATTAATGAGAGGAGATCCGAGAGCTCTGCTGAGGTATAAATGTGTTTTAAAAGTTGTTTAACGATATACAGTGTGAATTCAGCTATTTATTTGAAGGTTATTAGTTATCAGTGTTGCCCCCTCTCTTGGCCTGAGGTGTATCATGGCTGCCATGCTGATACCCAGCCTGAACATAAAACCTGATCTGCACTCAAAAAGACACTCGCAACTAACTTAATCAAGTTTACATTTGATCACATCTGCAGTGCGGATTACACGTTTTTACATTTCACTCAAAAAGAGAATATCAGTATTTTTTCTCCTTCGATGCAATAATCCTGTTCAGTAGGTATCAGTATGTCAGCCAAACTCAAAATGTCTGACCGGTGCCTTACATATAAAGAAGCTTGATCTGTCTGCATACTTTAAAACTTTTGTTACTGCCAGCCATTAAGTAATTTCACAAAGGAAATGTATACTTGGCTGGATATGCATGCAAAGAAGAATATCTGATATTTAACCCTGCGTGGCCACAAACTACCTGAAATAAAGTATTTTTACAACGTATCAAACAGGGTTGAACATTGGATTTGCTTAAAGAAGAATAGTTCTGTGAGATTTTAAACTGCAGGTAGTAGTGTGTATTGTTTGTTGTGTAAGTTCTACATATCACTGGATGAATGAGGAATAAAGTTTATGTGACCTTGGCCGCCGCCTGGTGTTTATTTTTATTTATTTGTTATAATTCAGCCCTTTGACTAAGGCGCCGTTTACACGAGGAGAAAACTGCTTGTATCTGCATAGTTTCGCGTGCGTATAGCCCTATTATTTACACGAGGCCGATAGAAACTGACCCCACAAACGATAACGGGTCCCAAGGTGGATAGATTTGCAAACGAAACGCTCTGGGGGGGTCAACCGAGTCCGTGTAATCACCTCGATACGAATATTTCCTGAAAAAATAACGATAGCCCCGGCTCTCCCCACCTCTCCTGCTCACTGCTGTATCAACTATCAAAAATAGCTGTGTTAATTAAACGCACAAGGGGTTCTTGAATGAAATAATATTATAAAAGGCAAACCAGAATTGTTAACGCCCAATATACTCCTTAAACAAAATAAACAGAGTCAGATTTCATGCATTGATCCATTATATTGACAAAGGAGGATCTCACCCGGTGTTTGTAGAGAATATCTCTCTCTTTCTGAGCCGTCCTCTCCACGGAGTTGTTTTCTTTCGTGTTTCTTGGTCGGGATGCAATATCCACAGATTGGTTTCTTTCAGTTTCAGTTTCAGTTTCGGGGCTTAAACAGAAGGGTAGCCATGGCAACATTGCAGCGGGGCTGCTCGGTTGCTCTTCTTCGCGGCTTTTGGTGTATTTTGGCGGAAGTTACAGCGCCACTTACAGTCCCAGCATATGTACTACAGCGTTTCCAGCGGCCTCGTTTGAACAGACACGTTAAATGAAACAAATGCATGTGAACGGAAGACTTTTTTGAATACGCATACTGTGCATAAACGCAAACGGTCCCGTGTGAGCGGGGCCTAGTGTTCTGAGAGAATAGGGTTCAACAACTAAAAGTAACTTTCATTATTAATGACAAGGTGCCATCTTGTGGACGTGTCCAAATCCTGTAGATGAAAACCTGATTTCATTTTACTTGTGGTGATGATTTATAAGTTCATAATAGTTATTTGATTGAGTTGAACTAACTATTTTGTATTCATTTTATAATAGTCATTTTATTTAGTTGAACCAACTTATTTGTATAAGTTCATAAGTTATTTAGATTGAGTTGAGCTATCGTTTTTAATTCATATTCTAATAGTTATTTTCGTTGAGTTGAACCAACATTATTTTATAAGTTCATAATAGTTATTTAATTGAAGTGAACTAATTATTTATAATAAATTAATAATAGTGGTTTAATGAGGTCGAATTGACTGATAGTATGTCGAAAATATCAAAAAAAACGACAGGGTATGAATATGTAAAAAATATCAGAACTAAATAAATAGTAGCCTATATCAAACATATATTTTTTTAAAAGAATTTTGAAAATATCAGAAAAAAAGACATCGTATAGAATGTCGAAAATATCTGAATAAAACTACATAGTATAGTATGTTGAAAATATCAGGAAAGAAGACATAGTATATGTAGAAAATATCAGAGAAAATACATAGTATACTATGTCAAAAATTTCAGAAAAAAATAATGTCGAAAATATGCAAAAAAAACGACATAGTATAGTATGTGCAGCATCAGAGCCGGTGACACCAGCAGGATCAATACACTGATCAGGAAAGCTGGGTCAGTCATCGGCATCAAGCTGGAACCCTTTGAAGCTGTGGTGGAGAGGAGGACACTGAACAGGCTGTTGTCCATCATGGATAACCCCACCCATCCTCTCCACCTGCAGCTGGACAGTCAACGGAGCTCCTTCTCCAACAGACTGCTGCAGCTCCGCTGTCACAAGGACAGATACTGGAAAACATTCCTGCCCACTGCAATAACACTGTACAATAAATCACCTCTGGCTGGAAGAGAACTCTCTGCTCCATAGCTTCTCTTGGAATAAAACCACATTGTACATTTTACATTTATATAATCTGTTCAATATTTAATATTCCATCTGTCACATACTTATGTATATATAATACCTTGCTTTATATCTTGTTATTGTTAATTTCTAAATTCAACATGTATATTTTCTACTTTCTTGTTTATTTCTTGTCTTTTAATTGTTATTGTACAATGCCATGTCTTTTTATGCTGCTGCAACACATACATTTCCCAAATTGGGATCAATAAAGTACTATCTTATCTTATCTTATGTCAAAAATATATGAAAAAAAGAATGTTGAAAATGTGCAAAAAAACGACATAGTTGAAAATATCTGAAAGAAAACATTGTATGTCGAAAATATCAGGAAAAATACATAGTATAGTATGTCGCAAACAGATAAAAAACTATATACGGTAGTCAAGCATGTTGAACACATGAATAAAACATTTGAAAGTAAAGTGTATTGAAAACTGAAAAGAAAAAAAAGTATGATATGTCCAAATATTTGAAATAAATATGGTGTAGTACTGTATGTGGAAATATCTGAAAAAACTAGCATAGTATGTGGCCATTTTCAAATCCTGCTGATAAAGAGCCACCTTGAAATGACTTCAGATCACACACATTACATTACATATCATGTAGCTGTAGCTGACGCTTTGGATTCAATGTTTTCCATTTTCAAATATTTTCAATTTGTAGAATTTTTATTAAAAACAAAAGTAGACAATATCAAAAAATCACATGAAACTGTTTCTGGCTAAAAGAGGTCGTGAGGTGGCAGATAATAGAACGTATTTCAACTTGATTCTTTACAAAAATGTTTAACAACCTAAACAACAATCGCCACAGGTGTCATCTTCTACAATATGAACACACTCACAGTTCATACATTTATTCATGTATATATACAGTAATGGGCCGAGTATCCAGGAGTAAAGAGAAAGGAATGTAAATAGGTCTAGTTGCCTCATTGATCGATGTTCCAGTCCAAATCAAGTAAAAAGGGAAGTTTATAAAGTGCCCAGCTCTAAACCAATGTTTGACTTCACTGAGCTGTAAGGCACCTGAATAATTGTAGGATTGTAGAAAAACATTCTGACAACTACACAGGGGCTGTCAAATAATAAGTCTTCTTAAGATTTAGTCAGATTAAAGGAGGCTAATGTATCGTTGCAGGCACTTGGACAGTTCCTTGCAAGTGAAACAACTCCTCACATCTTTTCCAATGACACCTGGTGTTAGTTTTCTTCAAAGAGTGCCTTCACATGTTACACTGACTTCTGTCACACAGCACCTGCTTGACATTTCGGATGATAAAAACATTGCCTTTTGATGTGACATCTGCTGTTTACAAATGTAACTCCGTTGATTAAATAACTTTGGTTCAGATGAGATTTCCCTCCTTCAAAAGTCAAAAACATTTCCTTACTATGATAACATGAACAAGACAACAAGTGAGAAAAAGTCTATAGTCAAAATCTAAAATATACGTTTTGAATACCAGTGGACGGTGCTTCAAAGAAGTAATATCATATGGATATGGCCAGGATTATTAAAGAGTATGTGATCTGGGCTCTTCCTGTTGTAACGGTAAGTGATGGCTCCAACAAGAAATGGGAATACTGCTGTGTGTAGGTTGGCTGTTCTGATGAGTGTCGGTGGTGTAAAGGACCAAGATGGCGGCTGATTGAGGACTTTTAAAAAGAGGACCTTCTAAAAGAAAGCAGGAACAGAGCTCGAGTCTTTTCAGTCCTTCCAGAAATGTAGTTTCTGTAAAAGCTGCGGTCATGAAGTGATGTTTGATGTGATGTAACAGAACGCTGCAGGGAAAGCTCCGCCCCTTTCATCCTCGGGTCAAATCTCTACGTCGCTCTCTTTGTCGTTGTCGTGGTCACCGTCGTAGAACTCATTGGCTGCCTCGGGTCTGATGGAGACGCATGATTGACAGTCAGTATATTATTAGTTATGAAAACAGTGATGCAGTTAAAATAAGTATGCAATTAGGTCATAGTATAGTATGAAATAAAAGTCATAAAAAACTCATAATATATAGCATGCTATTAACAAAATATTTTAAACATAGTATAGTATGCAATAAACAAGTCAAAAAAGTATAATTTGTTATGAAAAAAAGTAATATATAGAATGCTGTTAAAAAAACGTCATACTTGCGTATTTCATAAAAAGGTAATTTAAAAAAAAATAAATCATAAAAAGTCATAGTGACTAAAGGAGTCAGTTGTATATTATGCTATCAAAAAACACAAAGATATCATTGTGTAGTATGTGATAAAAAGTTATTATAATGTTATAGCCCCCTCCCTCAGCCCCTCCAGGTGTACCTGGTGTAGGGTTCCTCCCCCCCCCTCTCGTCGGGGTCGGGCTCGTCGGTGCGTTCGTAGCTTAGTATGTCGGAGGGCACGTCGTGGATCTGGACGCTGGGAGCGTGGTTCAACATCTTCAGGTTCTCAAACACCGTCTGACGGATCTGCTCCAGATACTGAGACAACAAGAACAGACTCTTTTCATTATGTGCTTAGGAGGAGACTGTAACATCGTTTCTGTCAATGGAGTCTGGAGGCTTTAAAGAGAGCCTAAATAACGGCTTCAGTCCCCGTCAGAAAGGGCTGTCGACAGCATAATAAAGCAGTACACATATTGTAAATACAGAGTACACTCAAACTGATATGGATTTCTTGGGGTGTTTTAAATATGATTTGCTGCTACCCTCCACAGCAGTACATCTGAGCTTCCTGCTGGTGCTAGTTCTTTTAACAATGCCTTATTATATATCGTTATAATTGGACAATTTCTCACCTGTCTGGAGTTCTGGTTCTCTATCCTGGTGCTGACATCTGGATGCAGCGTGAAATCTGGAGCAAAGTACTCAAAATATTCTGCAGGAACAAGAGGAGGAGGAGGAGGGTCAGAATCCAGAGAAGATACAAAATAGATAATTTTCAATCTCTGTGAGAAAGCATTTCTGTTCAATTCTTCCTCTTTCAAAAAGCATGGGTTTAAAATGTCAGATAACTCTTCTTCCAAAAGATGGCGCCAAAGGTTGGAAATGCTACATTTTGATATCTACGCCACAAAAACATAATAGGACTCTGAAAGTGAAGCCATTTTGGATAAAGGGACTCAGGGTGCAGTGTTAGATCATAATAATGAAATGAGACGTTGATATTTGGTGTATCTAAGAAGCACTCACCGCTATAAGGCAGCTCATCACTGATGGGTTCGTCCAATAACAGAGAGGTCTCAAAGGTCCTACAGCAGAGCAAAGCAGATTCTTGTTAGGGGCAGATCTGCTATTCTCAATCAACTCAGAACCTCCTTAACATGACGTTATGTGCCGAGAACCAAACTCACCAGCAGCGAGCCACGTTCCTGACCGTGTACCCCCCCCCTCCCAGGACCAGCAGAGGGATCCTGAAGCTCTTTACGAACTCCACACACTCTCTGGAAGACAACGGTTACAGGGACAACAGTTAGCTTTCCTACTGGATCCCCACACAGACAAAAGTGCAGTAGAATTTATGCTCTTATAACAAAAAAAGGGAAAGTATATATTTGTTTTCTTTGACACAATACATTATAATGACAGATTCCAACACTGCAGCTCAGAACAACACTTATTGTAGAGCGGTGCCATATGTTCCATGTGCTTCTTTTTTTTACATTAATATATTCTACTAAGGTTTTCGAATGAAGCTTTGAATTCCTGTCGCTATATTTTATGACGTTATCAACATAAAACTCTTTGGACCAAATCCTCAATTAGAATAAAGCGATTAATTGGATTAAATGAGTGGCTGTTTTTTTGTTATATCATTTAGCATTTTGGGGTTCAGTATGTTGCCCATGGACATTTCAACATGTAGAACTCAGTGCGCATGGATCAAAGCAGCTACTTTCTGATTCATGAACAACTGCTGTACGGCCTGGGCCAGAGTGAATGTCCTCCTCCATTATATATTTCCTTCAAATAGGCCTCATCAACAATTTACTCATTTCTAGATTTAGCCACAGAATTTGACTTTTTCTTGTGTGCATCACATTCTCATGGTAGTTTGGTCATCATCAAAATAAATACCCTATAACAACATAGAACACAGTCATAGAAATAAATGTTTTCTAAAAATGTGTATTTCATTCTATTTTTCTTTTTTATTCTAATCTCTAAAAGGGAGGGAGCTGCTGTCACAAACCTTATTTCCCCCGGGGACATATGAAGTATTCTGATTTACATTTCACCTTGTTGAATTGGACTTTTTGCTCCCAATCCCCCCAAAGGTATAAACGAGAAGTAGCTTGACAGTGTTTCCCAATGAGACATTGATGATATAAGTCAGTCTCACCCGTGTCCTCGTATACTGAGGTTGAAGCAGCCGAGTCTGTCGCAGCCCAGAGAATCTGCTCCACACTGAAGGAGAACAACACGCAGATTTACAATCTGATGGTGGGAGATGTTTACTCTATCTGGCTCTGATCACACTGAACCATCTAAAACAGGGGGGGGGTCAAACTCAATCTCATCGCGGGCCACATTAGCATTATGGTTGCACTCAAAGGGATGGTTGTAACTTTCAATCTCAATCTTTATTTATTAATATTGCACATTTAAAACCACCTCAGTTGACCAAAGTGCTGTACAGGGAACAAACATTAAATAACACAATGGGAGTCAAATAATAAAACCATAATTAAAAACAAGATAAAAAGCACAATAACTAGAAACATATAGAAACACATACACATATAAAAATGTTATGTTCAACTAGTATTAAAAGCCAGTGCAAAACTTTAAGACTATATATAAATATATATATATATATAAATATTTTATATATATATAAAATAATGTATTATATTACATCATTGCCTCTGCATTGGATTATTATGGGATAGGGTAATAACTTCATAATTAACTACGTCTGAAAGCAGAAGTCTAGGGCAAATAATTGCAAGTCTCTTCAGTGTGCATGTCATAGAATGAGATGCATTGTGGGACATGTAGTTTATGTGCAACGTGCTTCTGTAAAGCGGCATTCAGCCGTGTAATCAACATATTATATTCTTTGCAAGCTCTTGCGGGCCACATAAAATGAAGTCGAGGGCCGGATTTGGCCCCCGGGCCTTGAGTTTGACACCCCTGATCTAAAACGTTCTCACACACACAGACCAAACTATTAGCTAAGATGTCTCAGAGTTATTAGGGTTAGAGCCTCAGAGTCCCACACTGACCTGCAGGACGATGCAGGTCGGCTGGTAGAAGTCCACCACCTGTTTGATGACCGGCTGGAACAGCTGCCTGTAGCCTGACACACACACACACACACACACACACACACACACACACACACAGAGTATGAATATGATGTGTTCTTTTACACAACAGGTTAGACATTTCAACAATAAAACTTGAAACAGGAAGTGAGCTCACTCTGGTCGTCGATGCCGTCTCTGAGGGGAACGTTGAGGCAGTAGTAGCGGCCGCTCTCTGCTCCCACCTCGTACATGTCACCTGCAAACACACAAAGACACTGTATGAACACACATGTGTACAGAGAGAACACAATGATAAAATGATTAAAGCAGATGATCTCGTTATAATGAAAGATGCACACATATTTCCCTGTTTATTCGTTTTTTTATCATTTGCTAACAAATAAACAAACAAAAAATGAAAATGGAATGAACAAATGAACCTGGTATTTGTCTTTGTAGGTGTTATAAACCAAAGTAAAACTGGTATGCAGATGAAGGCACTTCTGTACAGAAATGTCAAGGCTGTACTTGAAACATAAACAACTTGGTAAATGGAGTTTAATAATTATAAAATAATTACAGACCAGGGAAGGGAGGAAATATTCTGATTCAAATGCAGAGATTAGAGATGAAAACTCCAGAGAAAGGAAAACAAATATCTCTCTGACATTACAAATAGTCATAACTATCTGAGAAATGAGCAAAATAAATCAATATTATTGTTATAAATAAAGCAGCTCGCACCTGTTCCTGGAAAGAAGTAGTTCCCGTATTTGTGGAAGGACACAGTCATGACGCGGTCGGTCAGGTAAAAGGCTTCCTGTACGCCGTCACCATGGTGAATGTCTATGTCGATGTACAGAACCCTCGGGTGGTATCTGGAACACACAGACACTCAGGTTATAAAGAGAGAGACAGCAAACGCTTGGTCAATGTTCTTCAGAGGAGAACCCTCTTACTTGAGAAGCTCCAGTATACTGATGACGATGTCATTTACGTAACAAAACCCAGACGCCTGCAAACACAGAAAAATCGTTTTAGTCCTTCAACCATTCACAGCTCCATGTAATGAGTTGAGCAGAAAAGATTGAGGCCAATATACAGCACTTCGTTCTGACCTCAAATTTCTTGGCATGATGCAACCCTCCAGCCCAGTTGATGGCAATGTCGCAGATCTGGAAAAAAAGAGACACTATCAATGGACGTTAACAAACTCCCAAGGACTCTGTAACCAGTCTACCTTCAGGGCTGTTTCAGTTGAACTAACAAGAGTAATGCTGTCCAGGTGGGATCATCTGCTACACACATGTTATCTCTACTCATCAGCAGGAGGAGGACAGGAAGTTAACGTGGCTGAAATAATAACAACTACTAAATCAGTGGCTGTGATGCATGTGACAGGGCTTGCACTGCATAGAGCCCATGTGTTTGCAAGGGGTCTCCCAGACTAAGAATGTACATCGGTGAATCTGATAGGTCAAGTCTTGCCTGTTTATCCCCCTCTGTTCAAGCTTTATGCATCTAAAGAGAGATAGCAAAAACAACACAATTATTGTCTGAGTTGCTGATAGCGCTGTGCATAGTACTGAACAGAGTGCAGAGACCAATATCATTCAGGACATTGTTTCTTAGCCTGCTTGCTTTTTGTGGGTGTAAATCGAACGGTTGGCCATAATACCCTCCCCCCCATTGTAGCTACCCGAGGACAGAAAGGACACAACATCTAACAAAATGAGATAGTTGTTTCTACGAGCCTTTCTGAACATGTTTGCAGTGCAATGATAGTGCTACGGTAGTGCAAGTGCCATGATTAATACATGTTATTATCGATCATGTAATAAAGCCTTGTTGAAGATATCAGAGGGGCTAAAGTGGTCCCACACATGATAACAATTGAAATAAACTTGATTGATATGGCATTTTTGGAACACAGTTACACAGTCCTATCCAATAAACACATTGGCTTGGAAGCAAATATGGAAAGTGCAACTTATTCTACATGGTGATTCATCCTAGCACACTAAGGACAATGATTGTATAGTATTATCAGGAAAACATTTGTATCAATAGGCTGCTGTTTTCAACAAAATAGGCTATAGGCTATATATATATATATATATATATTATGATTTATGGGGAGAAACCAAGCAATGCTATGTGGATTCAGACATTCAGCTCCCCTGTATAGAGTGCCACAGTGACGCGTCCTAAAACCCGGAAGTAAACTCCTTCCGGTTCCTTCGACAAAAAATGTATCCATAGGATTTTGGAAAATAGCTGGAAATAAGGTCTGTGGTTGACACATTTAAGAAACGGATCACGTTTTGTTCAGCCGGATAATATCCACATGTCTACCCTACTTTTATAATTTTCGAATCATAAATCTAGTCGCCAGAAGCTAAATGCTAACGTTATGCTATAAACGAACTACAGCAGGGTCGCACGACTTCAACGTCACGCCAACTTCAGATCCATATTCAAACATACAGATTCTAAATGGTACAAGTTGAAGCTTTTGATTTAACAGTTTGCAGGAGGCAGGTACTTGCTTTCAAGCAGAACATGGGGAAAAGCAAACTTAGCGGGAGTGTTTACGTGTTCGGTGTAATGACGTACAACGTCCTCGACAACTTCTGTAATCCTATTCAGCCACTTGTTAACAACCATCGTTTTTCAGACACGTACACTCTTCAGAAATCACCACTGCTGATGTATTTCATGTCGTAGAACAAAACGTGATCCGTCTCTTAAATGTGTGTCAACCACAGACCTTATTTCCAGCTATTTTCCAAAATTGCTTTTTTGTCAAAGGAACCGGAAGTGGTACAATGCTAACTTACTTCCGGGTTTTAGGACGCGTCACTGTGGCACTCTATAGCCCGATTGGAATGATTTGTTTTCCCGCCACAGCAACAGTTCAAGTGTGAGTTTGGCAGGTGAATCAGACCCCTTAGATTGCATCCTCCCATAGTTCAGTGTTCGGGCCCCCCCCCCCCCCCCCCCCCCTTACCTTGTGGTTGAGCTGTGTGGCCCCCTGTAAGGAGGCTCCTGTGTATCTTGAGCAAAACTCAAAAAGACCTGGAAACACAGGACTGAAACGAAAACACATGGGCACCAAATATTTCATTAATGGTATAATAACAGGGATAGTCACTGTGGCTATTAGGCGGAGAATCAGACATCTGAGCCCTAATATTTCTGAAGAGTGGGAACTAAGAAAGCAAATACATCATTGAACATTTTGATATATTAAATTGTCCTTGTTGAAAGAAAATGAGACAATCATAACTCACCAGTCGTCTCCCACGTTGAAAGTGTTGAGGCTCTTGGTGAAGCCCTGCATGTTGTTGGGACTGACCTTCTGCAGGAAGTCTATGTAGTCTTCAGAGTGGAACCGACACATGTCGTGCTGAGACGCTTTGTATGGCTTGAACACCTAATAAAAACATGTACAACTGATTAAATACAGTCAGATTTTAGATTTTTTTATTGTGAATCGATAGTGAGCAGATGTTAATTGAGCGTGTAAAGCCTCAGCAGGGTGTGAATGTATAACAGCATCTCTGCTCACCATCATTTTCTTGTAGAGTCCATAGTGCAGCACCAGACTGTGAGTCAGAGACAGACGGTGGGGCTTCATGGGGTGGCCGGCACCTGGGCAGAGGCAGTTCAAACATTACAGAACAGATATTCATAGGACACATTGGTCGTTTTTTAGAGTGTCTTATATTAAAGGTCAGCTGAATTTCACAACAACACGTAACGGACCGAAAATGGCATTGTCATGATTTATCAACTATGATATTTTGTAAGAAGACACTCAAAGGACTTTTATCCCCTCCCCTCTGGCAGGAGGCTGCGCTCCATCAGGACCTCTCGCCACCTGAACAGTTTCTTCCCCTCTGATACCGGCCTCATCAACAAGGCCCGGCCCCCCCACTGACAGTGACTTTTTATCCACCTCACAAACATTATGCATTACATTAATGCACATCATGTGAACATCTTAATACCGTGTGCTAGGGCTGCTCGATTATGGCAAAAATCATAATCTCGATTATTTGGGTCAATAATTGAGATCACGAATATTATTAAAAACGATTATCCATTTACTTTGAAAACATCAATTTATTGAAAGAAAAAATGTGTAGTATGTTTTTAACAGTTGATTACCCTGAACTTTAAGTATAATTCAATTGAAAAACCAATAAAAAAATACATTTTAAAAAATCGTTTTATTTCGATTATGTTGTTTTCATAATCGTTGCAAGCCAAAATCGTAATTGCGATTAAAATACGATTAATTGAGCAGCCCTACCGTGTGCCATGTTCATGCTCAACTCTGACTGCCTTTTGCACATTTATGCACACGTCTGCACAGCCCTCCACTTTCAAATATAATTCAATGTAGTTTGCCATATATTGTCATAAACTCATTGTCCTAAGTATTTTTGTTTTTTGCTTTTAAGGTCTTTGTATATTTAAATTTGGTGTAAATACTTGTGTTTAGTATTCTTTTTTAATGCCAAATTGGTTCTTAAAAATACTTATTTTGTATTATCCTTATACGTGTACCTACTATTGCAACTTATTTTTACTATTGGGACTTTGGGAGCATCTCTTTGGAACAAACTTCTTCCATCACTACAATCAACAGCTATTGTTGTTGTTTTTAAGACTTTAGGAAATCATATATATTAATGTAATGCATCTCAACTTGTCAACATAAATTATTTACATGTTCCATTCTTATATATTTGATTAGAGACCTTGATGAATTGTGAATTGTTTCCCTTAAAAAGAGACTATATTTAGTAGTTGTGGTATTTCCATAAGCCACTTTTAGATTATTCTGAACAAAAACAATCTTTAAATCTCTAAATGTATAATACGTGTAAATAAATCAAATTAATAGCTTAACCAAAACAATTGCAGTTATACAAACAATATTCTCTCGCTCTTTTAAGATAATCAACAACAGGTGTATATCATATGTGGGCATACTCCCATGAGCATGAGAGGCACATTGTTTACTTCAATACGTTTACCCTTATGGTAAGCTACTATGCAGTTACTACATACTGAGCTGTTTAGTCAACCATTTGCTATATAAGAAACGTAGCAATAAATGTGAAATTGAGCTACGTTCGTTGTTTAAAGAACCTACACAACAGACCTCTAAATGCACATACGAAGCTTGAAACGCTTCAATTTAAATGTAAAAACACAGCCCTGAAGTTATTAGCATAAGGCTAGCTTGCATTAGCACCGTTTCCCTTTGTAGGCCCGCTCGTTACCATAACCACACTCACCATAATGAAAGTTGCCCACGTCTGGGTCATAAAAATAAGACGTTCTGTTATTCATTCTGAAAGGAATATGTTGTGAATTTTTATGAGAAACTACGAGCGTTCTTGCAGCTACAAAACACACATTTTCCTATCAATTAGAAGATAGCCGCCATGGTAAAAACACCGACTACGTCATCAGAGAGCGACAGTACTACTAACGGAGAGGGGAGGGGCGTGTGGGAGGAAAGGATGCGGCTGACAAAATAAAACTGAACTGATGTAAAAATGATGAATTTAAACGTTTAGGCTTATAACTTCGAGTATTAAGACTACCATTTCACCTTATTTCAATATTTGTATTATGTTTAAATAACCTTTAAACATTTGTTTGTCATTTTGTTATCATTAATTGGGATTTACCATACCCCAGTTGGACCAACATATTTTGGCTTTTCACCTTCATCAGGGTCATTAGATTAAGTTGTTTACTTGTTTACTTTACTACACGTATAACTAAATCCTTTAACAGCTTCGAATTATCATCTAAAAATATGTTTTAAGATTAACAACTGAATCACACGCTTTAACAGATCAACTACAAATAGCTGGTGACAACCCTGAAGGGGTTGGAAGACAGTTTCATTTCAGTCATATTTTGTATACTATAAATGTAGTGAAGTTAAGTATAATAATTACAATAAGAATAATACTGGTGCATCGCTCGTGAAAAAAACATTTTTTTTTTACCTCAGCTTGGTTTCCAAAACAAAATGAGATCTGCAACACACCCTTACACAACACATACAAAGACAGATTCATTCTGAAATGCTTTTTCAGAAGCCAAGATTACATGTTTTCATTGATATCCAAATGTTGGAAAACACATTGCAGGTGTATGATTGACAGCAACAAAAGAAACAGCTACAATTAAAGAATGGGAGTTATGCTGTCAGTGTCCATGCTATTATCAAAGGATTAAGTTGTTTAACAGTTGAGTATGACGGCATCTAACATCAGGCCGAATAACACGTCTCTGCCGGTTCAGTTCAAAACAACTTCAATACGAATTCAATACAAAATGTGTGTTTGTTTTGAACACCTGTATGGAGGTAGATGGATACGTTTTTTTCTCCAGATTATACTTTGAGAGAATCCAGATTTCCCACTGGTGGAAGAAAGGAAGGTGCCGCATGTGTTATGAATGTTATCCTACATCCACACGATTTAACAACAATGCAGTTAAAGACAAACAAATACTTTAGTTTTTTCAACCAGTTGAGTTTAATGTTTTTCAAATTATGCTCCAACTAAAACATCTTCTTTAGTTGATCTCACTCTTAACTTCATTCTTTCTCCCTTCCGTCGTTGATTTTTTCTTCACCCTTCCCCTCTTTCTTTCCACAGTAAAGAATCAAATCTGTGTGTGTGTGTGTGTGTGTGTGTGTGTGTGTGTGTGTGTGTGTGTGTGTGTGTGTGTGTGTGTGTGTGTGTGTGTGTGTGTGTGTGTGTGTGTGTGTGCGCGCGCGCGCGTGTGTGTGTGTGTGTGTGTGTGTGTGTGTGTGTGTGTGTGTGTGTGTTGTGTGTGTGTGTGTGTGTGTGTGTGTGTGGGTGGGTGTGTGGGTGGGTGTTTTGATGGCAAGAGCAGATGTGCCCGAGAGGGCTATCAGCACAACCTTACACACAGGGTCATGTCTGCTGCAGCGTCTCTGCTGTATGGATGCGTGTGTGTAAAAGTGTGTGTGTGACAGCTAGTGAACTTCAGAATGATTTATTACTCTACCCTTCTTAACACGATATGCCTATTCCTGCTTTTACATGACCGGAGGAGTGTATGAAGAGTACATTATTTACTTGATGAGAGTTATTTGCATCTCTAATTTGTGAGTTTTTCTCAAGTTCCAGTTCATCTTTAGTCTAGAAAATACAGTAGCACCCATTGCAATTTCCCGACCAATGAGGTGTTTTGAAATGTGCTATATTTGTCGGTATTGTATTTTTAATGTACTACATATATTAAACACTCATTACTAGCTTAGTTTACTTTACTACTAGCTAGCTAACTAGCTACTTTTACATATAAAACACATGATTTAATGCAAAACGTACATTTTTAATATGCACAGTATTTTAAAAAGTGTTTGTCAATGTGTCTAACATTGGCTCCACATTGACAATCTACAATATCAAAATGATTTGACATGTATTTTCTACTGATTAAATCACAAAAACATAGTTCTACAACACTGTAAAGAACCATTCTGCATTCACAACATTTGACTTATTTTACGTAAATATTAGTTTTAATTCAGGATTTTTTATTTGTATTGGAATATCTTAACACCATAGTAATTCTACTTTTACTCAAGTAAAGGACCTGAGTACTTTTGCCACAACTGTGTGTAAGACATACAATTGTTCATCCATAACTGTCTTCAGTTTTGATGGAGAGGCTGGCATAAATATGGGTTCACAGAGGTACACTGCCTCGCCTTCGCTCTGCAGAATGTGTGTTGGCTTGTCGGCTGTTTTGCGTTGGAATGTCTGATGCATTTGACTTTCTCTCCCCTCATTCGCTCTCTCAATGTTTCTCTGCCTACAGCTAAATAGCAGAGCTCACCTGGATCGAATGGTTAATGTATTATGTATTCCTGATGTTGCAGGTCACAGGAGGTTCAGCAGGTGAGCTTCATGCATGGATTGAGATAGTGTGTGTGACCAGATTTAAACCTGGAATCCCCCTTATTTCTGTTGCATTTTTGGGTTTTTCTCTTCTTTGGTGGCCAACAGATCAATTTGTAAGGATTTATTTACGTCACCACACAATGCATCAAAACAGCCTGGTCTCATTACATACTTATATAAGTATCTTAAGTTACGTAACAACATACTTATTTTGGCCCAAACCCTGACCTTTTCCTAAATCTAAACATGTACTTATGTGGCCTTAACCTAAGTGATGCCAAAGGGTCCTGACTGAGCGTCTGTATGTGCCAAAACCAAGACCTTATTAAATCTGAGAATGCTGTTTGTTGTGCTCTGTTTCTCCATTAAATCTATTTTGAGTCGTTACCACAAGATATGTCAAAAAACTAAAAAAGAAGCTAGTTGGTGCAAATTGAGTTAAATTCTACTTTTTCCAACACCAAGAATGAACTTTTAAGATCCACTCAAAGCTCCTTTTTTTTTTTTTATTGAAACCAGTTTCTGCAAAAAAGAATGCTAGGAAGTTTAGGTTTGAACAAATGATTACATTGCATGTCACAAAAGTGGTGTTTTTTCTACTTGAACAACACAGAAAACAATGTCTTCTTGCTGGAGGATAGCAATATTAAAAAAGGACATATTGTGCAAATGTCAGGTTCATATTAGTATGTTGTCCCTCTCCTGTGACATGTTTCCATGCAAGAAGATGTTCAAAAAGGTCTTTATTGTTCTCATACTGTATGTGCTGCAGAGAAACTTCCTCTGAAGGGATCAATGGGATTGTAGTCTTTTCCTGCATAAAAACCTATATAACACACTACAGGAAAGAGAAAAGCCCAAAATACAAAAGGTCCTCTTTAAGAGAATAGAAAACACCATTAGAACTAATACAAATAGAAATAAATACATTTCTTGTATATGTAATCATTACTAAGATTCCTGTCTTGCACATTTTTTACTTTGTTAACAGTCTGTCAACTGTCAAGATAACATTTGCATAGCTATGAATACATTCTATGCGCTTGTGTGTGTGTGAGAGGGCTGGTTTTGGCCAAAGGGTACAAATCTAATCTGTCAAGCATCTGTCTCTGCCTGTTTGTTGAAACACACACACACACACAGACAAAGGTCCCCACTAACTCATTCCTGTTCGTCAATGCCATGGAGATGTATACAATAATCTGAAGTGAACTAACACACACAAAGACCCACATACACATATTTTCTGAATATTAAATTGATAAATAGTGTGCAGAAGTTAGTGACTAGTTGACTAATTTGTTAACCAACAGATTTAGATGAAAATGGCCGCCACAATAGATTAAATATTAAAATGGAGTGGTGTGCAAGGTTGCTGTATAGGGCATTTGACAAAGCAAATATTACAAGTTTGTAAATGTTCTTAAAAAACCTGGAGCATGCATTCAAAGTGGTACAAAAAAAACCCAAATCGTTTATTAAGTCTTTGAAAACTGATTTAGAGTACAAGATAAGGTTTGGCATACAGCTGTTATTTTATTGCTCAGTGAAATAAAACATAGCTGCTGCTTAGTATCACCACAACAGAGTATGCTTAAGCAATGAAACATGACTACACCAGGTATAGTCAGATTTGGTGATATCAATGTTACAAAGTGTAAATCTGATCCCTACTTCCTGTCACTTTTAATCTCTTACCCACATAGTATGCTGGCAAAATACATGCAGATTAAATAAAAAAGAAACCAACAATTGTGCGTCCTAGACAAGTCTGCGGTGATGATATACAGTATACAGTATATGTCACACTTTCAGTTAGGAAACTGCATATTCAAAAGTAAGTTACCATTAGCATAATAATATAGGGGTTTTCTGTTCTTTTCTCTGGCAGTTATTGGACTCTACAGCCTTTATCGGAGGTTTCCCTACATTTCTGGTTTTAATCTTTGGTTTTCATATGTTTCTCTTGATTATAAATAATATTATAATTGATAAATTAAACAAGATATAATCATGCAATCCTCTGCTGGTTTACAGGTACTCCCAGTGGTCCTATCGGGACTTATGAAGTGCTCCATTGTGTTCCACTGACTTCATTTGGCTGCAGTACTGTTTAAAGAAGCAGGCGAGTCTCCTCCCCGAGGTCCTCATCATGCATTACCTCACCTGCTGCGTGACAGATGTGGAGAATCACACCACATGTGATCACAGACAACATAAAGAAAATATCCGTGTCCACTGCCTCGAAGAATCACATCTATTAAAAAGCAGTTCAATGGGGCAAGTATTCAGATCAAGTACAAATAATAATCTGTTACAAGCAAAAGTCCTGCACACCATATGTCATTTCTGCCACTGGGGACTTCTCAATTCATACAATAACGAGACGTGGTGTGCAGACATCCACTCAGAGCCAGGCAAGCAGAGATGCGTGCCACCACCTGGGTTTCAGACCGGGGAAAAGACAGATTAAATTGTGCATCATCTATGTAACTGTGGGAGGAGAAGCCCAGAGAGCAAATGAGAGACAATCGGTGTACAGAGGACA